AGTGAGCTACGGGCCGGCCCTTCCTTCTAATTTGTTTAAGCTTGTTTTTGATGTCTTCTCTTTCATTCCTGATTCTGGTCGTTCGTGTTCTCCATCTCTCTGTTTGCTTTGGGACACTATTAGAGATAAGCTGTCCCGTGGTCCCAGGATTCAGAAATGTGGAGCTGATTACAGACAAGCATCGTAAGATAAGAAGCAGCAGATGGATCAGCTGAAAGGGGCTGATTTGGGGGGAAAGGAACAGGAGCTGGGGCCGGGCGATATAAACCTTTTCAGAAGTGAGCCTTTTAGGAATATTTGTACTCTTGACTGTATGAACACATGACTTCCATAAACATAAGAGGCACCTTAAAAGAAGACCAGTGCTGGCCCGTTAGCTCATTTGGTTAGAGCAGTGTTTTAACACCAGGGTCGAGGGTTCAGACCCCTGTCCTGGCCAGCTGTCCCCCTAACACTGGTTATTATTTCCCTGTGCACGCGCACACAAGGGGCCGTGGGATGCTTGGGGAGGTCAGGGGCCACTTTCTCGTGGATGCGCTGGTTTGAACATGTGGGTTAAACATGCGGGTCGGCCGCCGTGAGACCTGCCCCGCGTCCTTGGCGGGGCTCAGCTGTGGCTCTGCAGACTTCACTTCAGTCTCCCATGGGGAAGGGGTGCTCCGGGAAGGGGCCACCGAGGGGCTGGGGGAGCAGCTGGGGTGCTGAGCTGGGGGGGACAGGCGCCTCCCCCTGTCTGAGTAGAAGGAGGGAGTGGGGTGTGGAGACGCTCGGGCTGTGGAAGCAGGAGGACGGGCAGGTCACAGGGGCTGGGGGAGGACGCTGGTGCAGTCCGGTCTCCCACGGCTGTTTTTCAGGAATGCGAAGTGCGGCTCGCTCCCTCCTCCAGCCCTTCTGCTAATAACACTCGTCTGGGTCTGCTTCGGGTAAGAGACATTGATCTGCGCAGCTGGCCCAGCTTGGGGGGAAGCAGACAAAGCAGCCAGCCAGACCCTCGTGGGGAGCCCCTGAGCTGCCCAGCCCTGAGTATTACAGGATGCTGAGGGCCTTGATGACGGGTGTGGCACATGCCTGGCTCCTGCCAGCCGGTGTGTCCTCCTTCGCCTGCTCCCTTGCTGAAGCCTCACCTGGGGAACGGGCTTGTCTCCCTCCCATTTCGCAAACGGGGGTGTTGGGGTTAGGAGGCTGAGAGCGGCCGCATGGCTGGGGGTGGGAAGACAAGCCTGGGGGCCCGAGCTGTTAGCCATAGAATCTCCTGAAACCACAGAGTGAGGTCACTGGCCAGCTCTCCTAGGGCATCTGTGGACACAGTCAGAAAACTCTCTAGGGTGGCCTTGGGGGCTGCACTGACCCAGGTAATGGGAACCCCCTGCAGCTGCCATAGGTGCCCACACATGGAGCATAGTCCCCAGGGACCTCCTTCCTGCCGAACCCCTGGTGCGGGATGTGGCAAGTCGCCTGGGCTTTGCCCAGAACTCACCTGGCCCTGCAGCAAGGCCTTGCGGCCTCCCTGGGAAGGTCTGTGCTGGCTCCAGCATGCGTTGTTCGGAGGGAGGGCTGGACAGGCAGGCGTTGGCTCTGTGTCCTGAACCGCTGCCTTCGGTGCACTTCCTCCCCACAGCTACGGGTTCCTGAGCCCCAGAAGCCAGACGCTGGGTAACCCGGGAACTGGGGACAGGTGAGTGAGGGAGAAGGATGTGTGGCTCTCCGTGCTGGCCCTGTGGGACTGGCTCCATGGGTTTCCCCTGACCTGCCTGGGCCTCCTCTTCTCCCCTCTCTATACTCTGCCCGGAGCAGCCTCGGCCACCTCCATGGGCACCACTGCCTCCACATCTGTGGCTTCAGCCTCGACCTTCCTCTGACCTCCACCCACAACTCCAGGCTTACCCGGAGAGGTCCCATGCGTGGCCTCTGCTCCCTGCCCGTGCCCCTCCCCTGAACAGCCCATGCAGTGGATGGCTCTGCCTTGCCCAGTGCCCACGCTGGAGGCCTGGCCCTGCTCCTGGCTCTTCCTTTCTCCTCACCCCTATGCGGGGTGACTCCAGGTCCTGTCGGCTCTGCTTTTCGGTGTTTCTCACGCCCGTGGCTTTGCCTCCATGCCCTGCTCCGGTCGAGGCTGCTCTCAGCTGCAGCAGCCTCTCACTTGTCTCCCTGTCTCCCTCTGCCCCGACTCCCGTCCTCCTTGCAGTAGCCAGAGAGATCTTTCTGGAACATAACGTAGCAGCCCTCTGTGGTCTGACCCCGTCTGCCCAGCCTCTCCAGCCTCATCTCTCCCACCACGGCCCCCACTCTCTGTGGTGTGCAGAGCAGCCTGTCACCATTTGTCCATGTGCTGTGTGGTCCTGACTCCAGGCCTTGGTCCCTGCTGTGCCCTCTGCTGGGCCACTCCTGTGTCCTGCTCTCTGTGTCTGCTAACTCCCACTCGCATCGCTTATCCACTCATGGAAAACACTCGCGATCATGGCTTGCTGTCTCTCCCTGGGTTCCTGAGGCTGCTGGGGCTGACTGGGCTCATCTGGGCGGTCCTCCGTGGTCTCTCCAAGCAGTCCTAGGCACATGGTGGCTGGAGCCAGGATCATCTCAGAGTTCCTCATGTTTCTGGCATTGATGCTGGCTCTTGGCTGAAACACCTTCCCGGGGGCTCCGCATGTGCCCTGGGCTCCTCTCAGCTTGGTTGGGAGGTTCCAAGACCAGCATCCCAAGAGACAGGAGACAGAAGCTGTATCGCCTTTCAGAACCCGACTTCAGAAGTCACCCTGCATCATTGCTGCCGCATTTTATTTCCTAGAAGATGGGGAATCAGACCCCACCTCTTGAAGGAAGGGGGCTTCAGAATTTGCAGACATGTTCTGAAACCTACACCCTGTTCAGCCTCAGCTTAGGAATGTCTGGCAGATGTGTGAGCCATGTGGGTCTGCTGAGGACAACCCACACTGCAGTGTGTGATGTTGCGGTGGGTGGGTACCTGGCAAGGACATGGGCCAGTGCCACAGCCCCTTGCCGCAGTGACAGCTGTCCTGTGACTGTTTCAGACAGACTCACTCCACATTCCAGGCCAGTGCTGCACCCCTTTCACCGGGACCCCAGCTAGATTTCCTGCCCTCATGCCCACACAACCCATCTCCTATGTTCTCATTCCGCAGTGTGGCTGTTGGAGAAGTGGACGGCCTGCAAGTTGTAACATTGTCAAGGTATAACGTCTTCATTGGGTGCCCCCCACACCCCAGAATTGCCCCCCAGCGAGAACGGCTGCTCCTTCCCAGGTCTCCCTCCTCTGACTTTGCCCTCATCCTGCAGTCACCAAGAGACCAAGGCATAGCTGGTGCTTTTGTTGTGACCCGCTGCGTGTCATTGGCTTTGAAGGAGGATGACAACTGTATCAGTCCATTCTCTGTTGCTTATAACAGAATCCTTGAAAATGGGTCATTTATGAAGACATGAAATTTATTTCTTACAGTGACAGAGGCTGAGAATTCTAAATTCCAGGGAACACATCTAGTGACGGTCTTCCTCTAGGTGGAGACTACGGTGACGCAGGTGTCACATGGTGACAATGGGCTGAGCGAGAGTGAGCTAACCTGCTCCCCTGCCCTCCTTATAAAGCCACCAGGCCCACGCCCATCACTCCATGAACGGATCAACCCATTCACGAGGGCAGTCCTTACAGTCTAATCACTGCTCAAAGGCCCCACCTTGCAAACACCATAGTCAGCTTTCCCGCCCTCTCAGCGCTGTTACAGTTGGGGTCAAGTGTTCAGTACATGAACTTATGGGGACACATTTAACCCATTGCACCAACTGATTTGGTTTGCCTGGGACTCAGGGATCAATTTCCTGGGATGTGAACCTTTACTGGGGCTGACACTGGGACAGTCTCAGGCAATCCAGGCTGAGTTGGCCACTCTCCTTTTCATATATTTATTTTTATTTTTAACTGTGGTAAAACACATGTAACGTGAAAGCTGCCACCTCAACCGTCTTCAAGTGCGGTGCTCAGTAGTGTTAATTACATCCACATCTTTGTGCAGCCGTCACCACCGTCCATCTCCAGAACTTTTCAAACTGAAACTCTGTCCCCATGAAACAACTCCCTGCCCTCCCCAGCCCCTGGCACCCACCAGTCATTCTGCTTTCTGCTGCTGTGAGTCTCACTGCCCTAACTACCCTGTACAAGTGGAATCACACAGTATCTGGGTTTTTGGGTTTTTTGGGTGTGACTGGCTTAATTCACTGGGCATAATGTCATCCATGTTGTAGCATGTGTCAGAATTTTTTCCTTTTTAAGGCTGACTCCCTACTTTTAAATTCCATCATTGGAAGTGCAAATTATAGCCATTTTTTTACATTGAAAATGGCCCACTGGCTGCTGTTTCCCGGGGACTCTACCCTACTCTAGGTGTGTATCCACTGCTCACACATTTCCACAGACTATTGCACCTGACAGTGCTCTAAGCCACCGTGGGAACTGGTCCCGTGACGACCGAGAGAGGGAGGTTTTACTCTCCCATTTCCCAGACAGGAAGCCTTGGCTCTGGGAGCCATAAGATCTGCCATGTCAGCAGCCAGTGAAGGGGCAGAGCACACTTCAGGCCCAGGTGGCATACTCTGTGATGACGGCCTTTCCCTGGGAAGTACCAGGGCCAGACGCCAGGTCCAACACCCTCCCTGCCCACAGTGAATTAAAACAGAACCCCTTAGGTCTCCTCCAGCCTAAGTCAAGTAGAAGGCTCTCGTCCAGCCTAAGTCAAGTAGAAGGCACCATGCCCTGAGGTGATGTCATTCCTCTTCCATTAAAAATGCTGAAACGGAGGCTCTAAGCTTCAGCCCTTCCCCAGGGCCTGGGATGATGGGAGCTTTCATTAGCGCAGCCTGCATGGGATTGCTCACCCCGGCCAGAATGCAGGAGCTCAGTCACATTTCAGCAGCTGTACGTGCCCCACCTACTACGTACACCCCACATAATTTTCATTCAAACTCACGTTGTGGTGTTTTGCTTTTGCAGGATGGTATATCCCTAGCCAAAGGTGCTAACACCCTTGTGAGTAAATTTATTGAAAATTTAACATAGAACAAGGTGCTGTTCTAAAGATACTAAAGGGTGGTTTTCTTCATTTCAATCTCAATATCAGTCTGCTTTGTCAGAGTCTTTTCCTCTTAGGTTTTCTGATATCTGAATTTGAAGGCCCGCTGTTGACCTACAAGTAACTGATGCCAAATGTTTGAGTACGGGGTTGACTGAGCCCTTGTGATGGCTGCAGCCAGGAAACACCTAGGTCAGGTGACCAGATGGCAGCAGAGCTCGGCATTTTATGACACAAAGGTGGAGAATCAGACAGAGAGGAGAGGACAGCCCCTGATCATTACATCATTTTTTCTATTGGCTAGTACCTATGTGAGGGGTCTTCAAAACATTCCTGGAAAGATTCACATTTTTAACCCTATTTTTGTATGAATTTTTGGAAGTACACTCATGTATAGAAGAAGCCTCCTTCCCTCACAGGCTGGACACCTGCAAGATGGCCCTGGGGCCTTTGTCATCCCCTTACCAATTCAGACATGGGGACTGGCCAGTTTAGCTCAGTTGGTTAATTTGCACAGACTGAGGGCAGAGAGGTCGGCCTGAGAATTCCTACTCCAGCTCCCAGGGACAAAGGGCTGTGGATTCAGCCCCCACTAAGCACACCACCCAGCTCCCATGGCCAGCACAGGGCTCTGTCACAGCACTGCCTTGCTGTCTGTCTGTCTCCCCTCTGGATCCCGGGCATGGCCCGTGCCAGGTGTGGGCAGGTGCTGTGCCTTCATGGAGCCCTGCGTCCCCAGCCCCTCCAAGGGAAGTGGCCGCACAGCCAAACCACAAGCCCTGTCACCCATCCCCAGCGGCCAGGCCTGAAGCTGCACCTGGCAGCCTGGCTCTCCTGCCTGAGCTCGGGTGGCTGGACTGTGTCATCCCATGGGCGTGTGGGTGTCCCCTAATTAACCAGAGTGCCTTCCTTCCCCTTGTGAGGGATTTACCAACGAGCCAGGTGAGGGTAAAGCAGCCACGGTGCCTGCTCCAGACACTTGGGGTCTCACAGGGGGCACAGCACACTCTCTGGGACCCCCTGTGTCCATGGTGGGGAGCACATAGCCCTGGGGAACCTCAAGGAGGGACCAGCCATCTGAATGAGTTGGAGAAAACTTCCCAGGGCGGGGGGCCTATAAGATTTTACCTCTGGATTCAAGGTTTGTGGCCTAAGCAAGCCCTTACACTTCCCTTCTTTCTGGGACCCCATTTCTCCCCTTCCCCTGTTCACAGTGGTGGACCTGATCCCTGATCCAGTGAAAGAGTTCAGGAATGACACCCTCTTAGGAGCATGAGCAGTTTACTGAGGACCTTGTCAAAACAACACCCTCAACCCTCCAAGGGAGGGAGCTCTAGGGTGTAGAGACAGGGGAGTGGGGCCCAGGCAGAGCCCACCGCAAGTGAGGGCAGCAGGTGGCGGCCCCCCGCTGGTCCCAGCCCAGCCGGCTCTGCCAGGGCAGCAAAGGGGGCGCATGGGGGATGCTTCCTCAGGCCCACCAGGGAGGGTCTGCCCGGGGAGCTCGGGCGGGGGCGTGTGTCCCAGCTCCGGCTCTGCTGCCTGTGGGCGGTGGCAAGTTTCCCAGCCTCCTCAGGCTCAAAGCTCCTTCCCTGGATGCTGATAGTCCCGCCACCTCTGGGCGGGTCACAGCCCAGGCACTCGCTCAGGACAGGGCAGGGGAATGTGCGCCTGCTGATCTGAGCCATCGCGAGACGGCTGGATCCGCGCAGGGCCCGCCTCTTTGGGCACTGAGGTGGCCCTGGCCGTGATGTCCAGCTTCCCTGCTGTGGCTCCCCTGCAGGTACCTGGTCTTCCTGAAGCTGTTCCTGGAGACGGCGGAGAAGCACTTCATGGTTGGATACCGGGTTAACTNAACACATAGGATTCTCTTTCCCTTTTCTCTTTGATTGGTTCTTGTTTCCTATCCCTTTGTCCACCAAACAATGTGGAGAGGTGTGATGGGCACTTCCTTCTCCAGAGGGGATTCCTGCCTCTTTGCCGGCAGATCTCAGCCTCCTTTGTGGTCCAGCAGAGTCTCGCATTCAGTCAGATCTGAAAGTGATTTGCCCAGCTGGAGTCTGGATTTGCCTCTGGTTGGTGTTCTGGCAAGTGCTAGCTCTGTCTGGAAGGGTGGTCAGCGCTGGGGGGTGCTGAGGAGACAGAGGCTGAGTGGGGGGCTGGGATCAGAGGCCAGCAGCGTGTGTGTGTGTGGTCACCCTGCTGTCAGCTCACATGTTGCTGCATGGCTTTCCCTGTGCAGTAGAAACGATGTCCTCGTTGTGACTCCTTGGCTGGCTCCCATTGTCTGGGAGGGGACCTTCAACATCGACATCTTGAACGCACAGTTCCGGCTCCATAATGTCACCATTGGGTTGACCGTGTTTGCCATCAAAAAGTAAGTAGGTGAGGTGACTGACGGCAGTGATCTGGGATATGGTGAGTGACTGGGGACTTCAAGATCTGTCCTTATGTTCAGGACAGAGTGGGGCAGGGATAGTCTTGTCCTCCCAAAGGGTACATGTTAAGGCTCACGTGCTCCATGGTCATACCGAGCTCTTGTGGGCTCCCTGGGTGAATAAAACCCAGCTGCTTCTCCTGAGGCTGTGTCTCTCCCAGGGGTGGCAGTTCCAGCCTGCGGACCCCAATCTGTTCCTGTCAGAGGTGGGGGGCAGAGAATCCCAGGCAGTCCCCCTTCTGAGCCTGGCACAGCTGCACCCCCTCAAGACAGGGCTTCAGACGGGTCCCTTTCCCTGACCAGAGATGGCAGGAAGGGGGTAGACTGTTTGCTGTCCTCGGACCAGTAGGAATAGGACGCCCGCAAAGCTGCAGCCACTCTGCCCAGATGTAGGATGAGGCGGAGAGGGAGGGTCAGGCCAGGCACCTGTGGAGGCAGCTAATCAGTGAGGTCTTGCAACTGGGTCCGGCCAGCTTCACTGGGAGCTGGCGAGGTGACTGCAGGAGCGCAGTTGCACCCTTCGGAGTCTGTGGAGCGGGGCTGGCAGCACTAGCCGCCCCCAGGGACCGCTGTGGGGCACGGTTCCTGCGTGCTGAGGTGCCTGCATGTGGGGAGGGTTGCAGGAGGGAGAAGGCTCCTTCCCTCACAGGCTGGACACCTGCAAGATGGCCCTGGGGCCTTTGTCATCCCCCTTAACAATGCAGACATGGGGGCTGCCAGTTTAGCTCAGTTGGTTAATTTGCACAGACTGAAGGCAGAGATGTCGGCCTGAGAATTCCTACTCCAGCTCCCAGGGACAAAGGGCTGTGGAGTCAGCCCCCACTAAGCACACCACCCGGCTCCCACAGCCAGCACAGGGCTCTGTCACAGCACTGCCTTGCTGTCTGTCTGTCTCCCCTCTGGATCCTGGACATGGTCCGTGCCGGGTGTGGGCAGGTGCTGTGCCTTCATGGAGCCCTGCATCCCCAGCCCCTCCAAGGGAAGTGGCCGCACAGCCAAATCACAATCCCTGTCACCCATCACCGGCGGCCAGGCCTGCAGCTGCACCTGGCAGCCTGGCTCTCCTGCCTGAGCTCTGGGGACTGGGCTGTGTCATCCCATGGGTGTGTGGGTGTCCCCTAATTAACCATAGTGCCTTCATTCCCCCTTGTGAGGCATTTACCAACCAGCCAGGTGAGGGTAAAGCAGCCACAGTGCCTGCTCCAGACACTTGGGGTCTCACAGGGGGCACAGCACACTCTCTGGGACCCCCTGTCCCCATGGTGGGGAGCACACAGCCCTGGGGAACCTCAAGGAGGGACCAGCCATCTGAATGAGTTGGCAAAAACTTTCCGGGGCGGGGGGCCTAAAAGATTTTACCTCTGGATTCGATATTTTTGGCCTAAGCAAGCCCTTACATGTCCCTTCTTTCTGGGACCCCCTTTTCCCCCTTCCCCTGTTCACAGAGCTGGACCTGATCCCTGATCCAGTGAAAGAGTTCAGGAATGACACCCTCTTAGGAGCATAAGCAGTTTACTGAGGACCTTGTCAAAACAACACCCTCAACCCTCCAAGGGAGGGAGCTCTAAGGTGTAGACAAGGGAGCGGGGCCCAGGCAGAGCCCACCGCAAGTGAGGGCAGCAGGTGGCGGCCCCGCTGGTCCCAGCCCAGCCGGCTCTGCAAGGGCAGCAAAGGGGGCGCATGGGGGATGCTTCCTCAGGCCCACCGGGGAGGGTCTGCCAGGGGAGCTCGGGCGGGGGCGTGTGTCCCAGCTCTGGCCCTGCTGCCTGTGGGCGGTGACAAGTTTCCCAGCCTCCTCAGGCTCAAAGCTCCTTCCCTGCCTGAGACGGGGATGCTGATAGTCCCGCCACATCTGGGCGGGTCACAGCCCACGCACTCGCTCAGGACAGGACAGGGGAATGTGCGCCTGCTGCTCCGAGCCTTCGCGAGGCGGCTGGATCCGCGCAGGGCCCTCCTCTTTGGGCACCGAGGTGGCCCTGGCCGTGATGTCCCGCTTCCCTGCTGTGGCTCCCCTGCAGGTACGTGGTCTTCCTGAAGCTGTTCCTGGAGACGGCGGAGAAGCACTTCATGGTCAGATACCGGGTCAACTACTACGTCTTCACCGACCGGCCAGCGGAGGTGCAGCGCGTGGCCCTCGGCGACGGGCGGCGGCTGGAGGTGCACGAGGCGCGCAGCTACGCGCGCTGGCAGGACGTGTCCATGCGGCGCATGGAGGTGATCGGCGACTTCTCGGCGCGGCGCTTCCTCCGCGAGGTGGACTACCTGGTGTGCGCCGACGTGGACATGCAGTTCCACGACCACGTGGGCGTGGAGGACCTGAGCCCGCTCTTCGGCACGCTGCACCCCGGCTACTACGGCCGCGGCCGGGAGGCCTTCCCCTACGAGCGCCAGCCGGGGCCCAGGCCCACATCCCCCGCGACGAGGGCGACTTCTACTACATAGGCACCTTCTTCGGGGGCTCGGTGCCGGAGGTGCAGCGGCTCGCCAAGGCCTGCCAACAGGCCATGATGACCGACAAGACCAGTGGTGTCGAGGCCGTGTGGCGCGACGAGAGCCACCTGAACAAGAACCTGCTGTACCACAAGCCCACCAAGGTGCTGTCCCCTGAGAACATGTGGGACGAGCGGCTGCTGATCTGGCCCGCCGTCATGAAGAAGCTGCGCTATGTGGCCGTGCCCAAGAACCACCAGGAAATCCGCCACCGCTGACTGCGTCCGGGAGCGCAGGAGGGCCGAGCCCGCGGCCCCGTCTCCCCGGGGACCCTCCTAGACCCGGGCCGGCTTAGCAGGAGCTGCGCTTCCTTCTTCTGCCCTGTTGGGAGGAAGGGCTGCAGCCTAGCCCGTGCCCACCTCACGTTCAGACCGTCCAGGACACGCGGACACGCAGACACATGGACACAGACCCGCGGGCATGCAGACACACAGACACACGACACACACTCGCGGGCGCGCAGACACACAGACACACGACACAGACCCGTGGGTGCAGACACACAGACACACAGACACAGACCCGCGGGCATGCAGACACACGACACACACTCGCGGGCGCGCAGACACACAGACACAGACCCGCGGGCATGCAGACACACGACACACACTCACTGGCGCGCAGACACACAGACACAGACAAACGACACAGACCCGTGGGCGCAGACACACAGACACAGATCCGCGGGCATGCAGACACACAGACACACGACACACACTCGCGGGCGTGCAGACACACAGACACAGACCCGCGGGCATGCAGACACACAGACACACGACACACACTCGCGGGCGTGCAGACACACAGACACAGACCCGCGGGCGTGCAGACACAGACACAGACCCGGGGGCGTGCAGACACAGAGACACACGACACACACTCGCGGGCGCACAGACCCGCAGACACAGAAACACAGACACAGACCCGCGGGCGCACGGACACGCGGACACAGACCCATGGGCGCGTGGACACACGGACACAGACCCGCGGGTGCGCAGACACGCAGACACAGACACACGNGAGATGTCGGCCTGAGAATTCCTACTCCAGCTCCCAGGGACAAAGGGCTGTGGAGTCAGCCCCCACTAAGCACACCGCCCGGCTCCCACGGCCAGCACTGGTCTCCGTCACAGCACTGCCTTGCTGTCTGTCTGTCTCCCCTCTGGATCCCGGGCGTGGTCTGTGCTGGGTGCGGGCAGGTGCTGTGCCTTCATGGAGCCCTGCGTTCCCAGCCCCTCCGAGGGAAGTGGCCGCACAGCCAAACCACAAGCCCTGTCACCCATCCCCGGTGGCCAGGCCTGGAGCTGCACCTGGCAGCCTGGCTCTCCTGCCTGAGCTCCGAGGGCTGGGCTGTGTCATCCCATGGGTGTGTGGGTGTCCCCTAATTAACCATAGTGCCTTCTTTCCCCTTGTGAGGGATTTACTGACCAGCCAGGTGAGGGTAAAGCAGCCACAGTGCCTGCTCCAGACACTTAGGGTCTCACAGGGGGCACAGCACACTCTCTGGGAGCCCCTGTCCCCATGGTGGGGAGCACATAGCCCTGGGGGACATCAAGGAGGGACCAGCCATCTGAATGAGTTGGAGAAAACTTCCCAGGGTGGGGGGCCTAAAAGATTTTACCTCTGG